TTTATTGGAGAACTGAGAACACAATGTTCAAAATCAACTATCGTGTTCTTGGCCCAGCTGAAGTCTGTGTACCACGTACTCCCATTTGCACATCGCATGCTTTGTTGGTGTTTTAAGGCTTTATTTATCCAGGTTAGTACCACTGGGATTAGAGATCTCATTTACAAGGAAGACCTGGTCAAGACTGCAGCACATTCAGTCACAGCCAGAAAAACTGCAAACACAAATGCACCCAGAAGGTGCATTGTGCACTTTATCTTCTCAGTGAATAAAATACTGATCAACACGATCTGCAAGACCAGCAGAAACTTACACTAACTTACATTATCTTTACATTAGAATCATCTTGAACTCATTCGAAATGGCAATAATCTGCCAGCCGTGGTGCTCAGATCTTTTCATCAAATAAAAGCAGCAATAACACAATAGAGAGGGTTAGGGTAATGAGAAAAACTCCCGCATGCAAAATTTACTGAAGCACATTAGAAATGACATTAAATTACCAAAAGTAGTCATCATGCATACTGAGCCATTTCAGAATAAGATGTGTTATATATTCAGATTATACTAATTATTGATGCATTAATGTGTAGGGGCCAATTGTGACTACAGTGTTGTGGGTAGCTTAATGTACAATAATTGTCATTTCTTTTTTGATTATATTTTGAATAATCTGAATTTGGAAAGTAACTTGTAACTATTACTGTGATGTAATGTACAAAAAAAAGTATAAAGTTACATAAAATATAAATATTGGTATGGTCAAAGTATCACTTAAGAGTACAGTACTGTAGTAAATGTACAGTTACTGTCCACCACCGTCTGCAAGCCATATTTCGTGAGTGTGTTTCAACCAGATGTAAAACATGTAATAGCGGATTCACTGTTCAGATGACCATAAAGGCAGGAACCGGGAAAGCAGAACATGTTTTCTGTGAAAATATTTTACGTTTCAAAAAGGCCTTCAAACAAGCCTGCTATGGTCCTTGTGTGACATAACTGTGATATCTACTGTCTATGAGAACAAGTTTCACCAACAGCAGGATTACAGCGCTCTCTAGTGGTGAGGCAGGGTAAAGCTCTTCACATTCAGTCATTAACAGGGAGCTACCGGTGGTTTCTAATGTGCTGAAGACAAACTGATTAAGTATACCACTGTCACTGCTGTCATCAGTACCCCCACTGTTTGGACTGTCTGCTTTCACATGAGAGAACGACACAGGGGTGGAAGCAGTAGTCACGTCCTTTCTGTTGATCGGTGTGAAACCTCCACAGTGTTTCAATGTTGTAAAACAATGAAAACAAGAAAAAAATTTAACCGAGAATAACTGAGCAGCAATACTACCGAGGCTGGTATTTCAACCAAACACATGCACATGTTCACTCAGTGTGCAGCAGCAAGATTCATTCAAATGGTTAAATGAGTCAGACTGACTTGAAATGACCCGTTTTTCAGTTCTGTTGTAGACCCAGACACAGGGGGAAAAAACTTAGTATTTTCTGTTAAAAAAGCCCTGGTTAATGTATGTTCTCCCCGACCGCCTCAGTGTTGTGGTTCTGCTTCATAAAATAATCATTTCATCATTCAGGGGCTTGTACACCAACCATTATTTGGAGGCAAGGTTAAAAATGAAATGAAATCTTTCATCTTCACTGATGATCTTTGATGCAGTGCTAAACTGTTACCAATGGAGAGTGGTATTTCTCTGCTGTATGGAAGATATCAGCTGCAGTAAAACTTTCAGACTGGAAACACTTCTTATTGTATTAAGGTGAAAGTGAAGGATCATCTACAGTTTACAGTTAAATATCTGAAAACTTTGCTGTCAAGTTGTTGTAGGTGTAATTTCACTGTCTCTGATAAAGACAGAAAGAGGTGGATATGACTGAATTATTTTATACTGAATTATTTTTATTTTTTATAAAGGGTGGGGGGGGTGAAGGTAAAGGGGTAAGAGGGTGGGGGTTAGGAAGTGGGTTGGGGGGTAAAGGGTAAAGGGATGAGGGAGGGGGTTAGGAAGGGGTTTGGGGGGTGAAGGTGTAAGAGGGTGGGGGGAGTTGGGATGAGGGGATAGTTGTCAGGGTTGAGGGATAGAGGAGTGGGGGAGGGAAGGGGTGTGGGGGTTTGAAAAGGGGTTGCGTTGGGGGGGTGAGCTAACCCTTGTCTTTCTCCTTCTCTCTCTCCTCCTTGTCTTTCTTCTCCCGCTCCTTCCTCTCTTTCCTCTCCTTCTTTTCTCTCTCCTCCTTGTCTCTCTTTTCCTGCTCCTTCCTCTCCTTCATCTCTCTCCTCTCCTTCTCTCTCTCCTCCTTGTCTTTCTTCTCCTGCTCTTTCCTCTCTTTCCTCTCCTTCTTTTCTCTCTCCCCTTTGTCTTTCTTTTCCTGCTCCTTCCTCTCCTTCATCTCTCTCCTCTCCTTCTTCTCTCTCTCCTCCTTGTCTTTCTTTTCCTGCTCCTTCCTCTCCTTCATCTCTCTCCTCTCCTTCTTCTCTCTCTCCTCCTTGTCTTTCTTTTCCTGCTCCTTCCTCTCCTTCATCTCTCTCCTCTCCTTCTTCTCTCTCTCCTCCTTGTCTTTCTTTTCCTGCTCCTTCCTCTCCTTCATCTCTCTCCTCTCCTTCTTCTCTCTCTCCTCGTCTTTCTTTTCCTGCTCCTTCATCTCTCTCCTCTCCTTCTTCTCTCTCTCCTCCTTGTCTTTCTTCTCCTGTTCCTTCCTCTCCTTCTCTCTCTCCTCGTCTTTCTTTTCCTGTTCCTTCCTCTCTTTCATCTCTCTCCTCTCCTTCTCTCTCTCCTCCTTTTCTTTCTTCTCCTGCTCCTTCCTCTCCTTCTTCAGCCTCTTTGTTGCCTCGTTTTCCTTCTCTTCCTCCTTTTCCATCTCTCCATCCTCCTTGTCAGTTTTGCTTGTGAGTTCCTGAAAAGACAAAGACAGAATGTTTCAGTATTTTCTGTTCCAAAGGCTCAATTTGAAAAAAAAAAAACAACAACTTACAATCCAACATGTTATTATTCAAATGAAAATGATCAGCTGATGTGACATACCTCCAGCTCAGTGTTTTTCTGGGTCAGGCGCTGGATGTCCTCCTCCATCCTGCTGGTCTTTTGGATCCAGGTTTCCTCCTTTGCAAGCCACTTCTCTTGCACGTCTGCATTATATTTCTGCAGCTCCTCCTTCTCTTTCTCCTGGCATCGGAGTTTCTCCTCCAGAGTTTTGACCTTTGACCTCCAGTCAGTGTCTCTCTGGTGCAGCTCAGATGTCAGGTTCTTCACGTTAACCAAGTTCTCAAGGTTTTTCCTCATCAGTGCTATGTTTTCATTTTTGGCACTGGTGATCACTTGGTTCTTGTCCTGAATGATGTGCTTCACCTTTTCATCACAGCTCTTCTGCAGCGCTTGAAGTTCAGCGACTGCCTTCTTCTCCTTGGCAGTCATCTTGCTCTGCCACGCCGCATTGAGCTGTGAGATGGTTTTCGGCAGGCAGCGTTCCATCGCTGTGACCTGGTTGCACATTGCGGTTAGCTGTTTTCTGGTCCTCTCTGTCTCAAGTTGGCATGAAAACAGCTCTTCTTTAAGGGAGCGGACTTCCTCATCCTTTTCTTTCAGTCTTTGCTCCAGCTCCTTTTCCTTGGTGTTAAACTCTTTCTCCAAGGCTTTTGCAGACTTATAATCATTTACCAGGGTGTCCAGGTTGTTTATAGCCCCGTAGAGGATTGACACCGTGTAATCTGTCCGCTTCCTCCAGTCGTTTTGCATGCTTGCGGGCTGCTCCATAAGAGCAGCGTCTTCTGCAGCAAGCTCCTGGTTTTCCTTCTTTGAATCCACAAGGGATTGTCAGAGTGTGTGTAGTAGAAGTTCAAATAACGTAACTAGTGGTTGAAATGTCGTACTTGATGTCGTTCGGTCACTGTATCCACGAAGAGATGCGTCTCTGTCAGGGGTCAGGTGTGAACTGAAGGTCTCTTGCCTTTGATGCTGAATAAATGTTATTCAAAGGCAAGAGAACTTCAGTGCTGCATGACATCATAACTGGGTTCAGAATGTGATGACATCATGAGAACCCAGTGTTGGCTTCCTCATGTGTCATGACATGTGACATGTATGATTTCTACTGGAAACATAAAAAATACAAGAAGTACAACTACACTTACATATTATAACCACTTCAAGTTTTTTTTTTAAACATTATATGAAATATTAAAGTTTCTCCCTACAAATCCAAACGTCAACACATCACTGCTCTTATTTTTAATTTTTTTTCAGTTTACGTTGGCGCATTCCAAAAAAAAGTATTTATAACTAGTTTGTCTGGGTCCCTTAACAGATGATACTGGTCACCCCCTCAGAGATCCAGGTACTAGACACTAGGGCTGCAGTTAACAATTGATCTGCCAATTATTTTTCAATTAATCACCATGTCTGTAAAATGAAAGAAAATATAAAACTACATACTAAAGATAATCAGTTTACTATCATATATGACAGAAAAGCATCAAATCTTCACATTTAAAAAGCTGGAACCTGCAAATATTTGGTATTTTTGCTTAAAAACAATGAAAAAAACTATTATTTGATTTTCAAAACAGTTGATTTTCTGTCGATTGACAAACTGACTCATTAACTGAACACTAAAATGGAGCTGGGCATGTTTTAAAAACAGCTCCGTTATCTCTGCCATCGTGATTGTAAACACAGTATTGCTGATTACCTCTATGATTAAGGTGGGTGATTCTGGGTGTTTGTACAGATGCATCCAGACATGGACAAAATTGTACAATGAGCACTTTTTTTGATGACCTTTGTTTCAGGAGTTTTCTATGATGTGTTCAAGTGCTTGAAAAGGAAAATCAAAAAAACTGAAAAGCCTGATTGCAAAAATAGAAATGAGATTAGACAACAATATTACTGCAATATTATGCTCCAAGAAGTAAAGAACAAATCAGAGCAAATTACCTGTATTAAAAAATAAATGTAATGAGAACTGAAGCTGAACCAAAATGATGAAAATAGAGTAGACAAAATCAGGATTTTATTTTTCTACATAACAAAACAGCTCAAATTCCTCCTCCACCGATCAACACAGAGCCTTGCAGCAGTTCACCTTCAAGCACGATTGTCCTAATTGGTTGCCATGGGGACCAAAGATGTGCATGTAAGTGTCTAGGCCTCCTCCTCATCACTTCCTGCCAGGCTGCTGTCTGTAGAGTCCAAATCCTGCTCCTGTTGCTGTGAAGATTGTGGTTCTGTTTCAGGGTGCTGTTCTGGCTCCGTGGTGTTGGAGGCCTCTGCCGGTTCTGCAGCGGCGCCCATCTCTGCCGGTTTGGTGGCAGTGTTGCTCTTCTGGCCTTGCTCGCCTGCCTCCAGGAAAGTAGACCAACCCTTCAGTCGCTCCTCTCGCTCCCGTGCCGTCTCTTCCACCTGCACGGACAGAATTAACATCATTTCTGACCAGAAGTAGAGTTCTCCAGCTCCTGAACACCAGGAAAACCCCGATCACATTTTCTCAGACTTGTAAGAGTTGCTCCTGAGCCACAGAACAAATTTTACATGTTTCCACAGGCTGAGTATTACTCCTCACGATTAGGACACTGATCTTCATGTGTAAAATCTGCTGAGGTCCCATTAACAGACACATCTTAGTGTTTATGTACATACATGACGGGTTGGAAAAAATGCAAAGCAAGAGGCTTGAGCTACAAGCAGCCTCATATAGTAACCATATACAATCTCTCTCCTACAAGTTGTGGCCAACATCACTCTGCTTTCTTTATTAGCTTGGCTGAGCATCCCCAGTTCTCCAAAAATCTAAAAATATTTTTGACACTTGTATTTTGCAGTTGGTGTACCTGATAGTCTGTCGTTCCATCCCAAAGCAGAGCAGACAGCTGCCTTCCTCCAAACCAGCGACCATTGAATGACGAGATGCATGCATCAGCTTGCTCGGGCTCCTTGAATGCGACTGATGCCACGCCGTCTGGGTGTCTCTGCAGCACAAACACAACCACATACCAGCTCTTTATTGATGCCACTGATGGAATATTCAGATTCATTCTGCTGTGACTTTGAAAAAAAGCAGTAATGATGTTAAACTCACATCAAAGAGGATGACCTTCTTAACCTCACCGAACTTCTCACACTCTGTCCGCAGATCTTCACGATACTCATTCAACACCAGTGGGTCTTCCTGGAAAAAGGCAACACAGAAAGCACAGAGATTAATACTCACAATGGACAGTGTGTGTGTGTGTGTGTGTGTGTGTGTGTGTGTGTGTGTGTGTGTGTGTGTGTGTGTGTGTGTGTGTGTGTGTGTGTGTGAGAGAGAGAGAGTGTGTGTGTATGTTCATGTGTGTTCCTCTTCACACCTCAAAGTCACTGGGATGAAACATGTTTCTGATGATGACTACTTTTTCATGCCTCTTCCTCACGTCTCCTTGCTTCTCTGGCCTCCAGTCCAACTGTCTACACAGATAAAGACACAGAGGGAAAAGATAAAAATGCTCAGTCACATGTCTTCTCTTAATCCACTTCAGCATTGTGGGAAGTGGAGTTTATACCTGCATGCAGAGTGGGATATAATAAATAAAAAGAACAGGAAATAGAAGTTTTACTTCTGTTGCTGCTGCATCTTCTTCTTATAATCTTTGCTCTTCTTCTTCTTCTTACTCGCGTCATACTGGCCCTTTAGCTCAAACCGTGCTGCTTCCACATGGAGTCTGTAACCTCTGACTTCTGACTCGTCAATCAGGCGCATAGCCAGTGCCACAGACTCCTTCTGCAGAAAATAATATAAAAAAGAAAATAATAATTTCAGCTGTGTGTCTGTCATCTTGTTTTGGAGGTCTTCTTCTATTCTCTAGGATAAGTTTCCACAATTATTATTTCTTTATTTCTTTGAGAATGAGAACACTTTTAAAGTATTAATCAAGCATAAGGATAAATTGACCTTGAGATAGCAGCAGAGGCCATCTCCCTTCAGATTTCCGTATTTGTCCTTGTAGAGTTTAACCTTGTACTCCTCGGTGATGGGGTCCCGCATCACGATGCCACACTTGGACATCAATTCAACAAACTCTTCAGTGCTGATATCAAGGGGCAGACCTGAGGAAAGGAGACCAGGAGAAAAATAGTCAGTCAGCTACTCACTGGACAGCTGTCTCCTTGACAATGAGAAAAAAATGGTAGGGATACCAACCTGACACATAGACGTTTGTGTTTTTGGTGTCATCAATATCAAACCATCCTACATGGACAAAAAAGGGGAAAAGGCCTTTATCAAAGGATGCATTTTATACAAAGTTAAACTCAGAAACTGTACATATACATCTAAACTGTAAACAAACATAATCACTATTTTTAGACAGAGAGGAAGGTGGGATTTTACACCAATGAGTGTAAAAAAGAAAAAACAACAAGAATTCTACTTGTACTGCACTGGTTTTCTCTCTCCTCACTGGTTATGGATGTTGTGTTACCTTGCTCTGCTTTCCTCTTCTCCCCTTTCTGCTTGGCTTCTTTAACTAGGGTCTCCTGCTGGTCTTTGTTCGGCTTCTGGATGGCATCTGCTGGTTTCTGCTTTTCTGAAGGCTTGCTGTCTGGTTTGGGGGCTGCTGGGTCGGTGGTGCTCACTGCTGCATTGTTGGCATCTGGATCTCCCTCCTGAGTGAAGCCATAGTTGGCCTGGTAGGCTGCGATGAAGTCCTCTGTTATCTATGAAAACAATGCAAACCTACTTAACATTAACACAGAAACTGTGTCCGGCCAGTTTTTGCATTCCAAGTTAATGCACTGGATTACAGCTCACACATGAAATTAGGATACATCTCAAGCAAATGCTGCTCAACAGAAATAAATACATATAACATTTGTCCATAGACTTGAAAGAGATTTAGAGACTTTAAAGAAAAATGATGTAAAAAAACAAAACAAAAAAAAAAAACTGAGAGGCAAAGAAAGGTTCATACTTTAGGGAACCAGGCTTTCTTTTCATGGTCCCAGTCATAAACAGTCCCGTCCTCTGGATCGGTGTAGGTGTAGGGGTCAGAGCCATCCTCATTTCTCTGACCGTAGAGCTCCTGCATCCGCAACTGCTCCATAAACTCCTTGTTGGCTTTTGAGTCACCACTCATCTGCAATAACAATGTTAAATGTGTAATTACCCAGGTCAGCTAGCCATGACATTAAAGCATGTACAAAGCAGTTATATTATGAACCTGAGTCATTTTGATTTAATATCCTACTTTACCATTTCTTGTTTAATATTTCAGAAGCTGTTGCCATATGAAGCTGTCAAAGTCTCACATTATATTTAGAATGACTTTGTTACTATCAACAAAAGTCAGAATAGAAAAGCTAGAAGCTCAACAGGGGTCCGTCTTTTCTCTGCGTTAATAAGTTAACTCAAAAACCTCTAATGGACAACACAACTGAAATAAAGGCAGTGTGGTTCAACAATGACGCCTGGCTGTGGCCAAAGCAGGATAATAAACACATATGCTACTGTCCAACATAGCTAGTTAGCGTTACCTTGTACACGGATAGTCCTGGCCAACCAAAATCTGCGAAGGTTAAGGGAACAGATTCCCCCCGTCTAAAGAGCAAGGAACAGAGCACTTTCTTTGTTTTGAGACTGTAGCTTTTTAAAATTAGTTTATACTTTGAAACTAGCGTTATTTCACTGCCTGCTAACGTTAACCCCCAGTCCGCGACGACAGTTGAATGAAGTACTTCCGATGTCAGATTCAGAGTGCGCATGTGTGACATTTGGAAATGGAGCACTCGATTTGTAATACAGCTTCTACCGTTTTACAATTAGTGGTGGACAGGAGAGCCAAAATTAACGATCACTCCGCCCGCAGTTTGTCAGCGAGAGAACGAATCGACCGCATCTCTTGTGAGCGCCGACACCTTCGCTAGCTAACCTAGCTTTCAATGTTGCAATAATTGTTAAGTAGCAGATCTTCGGTTTGGCATGGCGGAGGGTACAGGTAACGTTAACGTGGGACCGGCCAACCTTCCTCCGGGAGACCCTCAGCTAATTGCGATGATTGTGGAGCATCTGAAGAACCGGGGGCTTTTTGACGAGTTCCGTCGGGACTGCCTGGCCGACGTTGATACGAAGGTAGGCAGCTAACTTTAGCCAGAGTCCAAGCTAACGCTAGAAAGTGTTGACATAGCTTCTGATCGGCGTTAACCCGTTGTTAATTTAACTGGAATACATTTAGCTGTGTTCTTTTCGTTGTTGCTAAAATACACTACTCACAATAAGTTAGGGATATTGTGAGAGACTCGGTGGATTTCATACATACAGTGTTTGTTTCACTTCAGAGATTTTTGGGATAGGGAGGCAGTTGTATTGGGGTGATAGACACCTCATTTTGTGTTTTCCACGTAATGGTCTCACTGTGTACAGTGTGCCTTACATATTGGGGCCAATACCAAAAAACTAAAAGACAACCCTTTTCAATGTGGCATCAATTTCAACATTCTGTGGGTATAAAAAGCTGGCATTGTCAGTAAGTCATTCCAAGTTCATCATTCAAACAGCCATGAACACACGACGTCACTTAACGGACGAGCAGCGCCACCTGGCCATAGCGCGCCTTCGGGTCGGTGGCAGGCAGTCAGATGTTGCTCGTGAACTTGGTGTGTCTCAAAGTGTCATCAGCAGACTTGCATCAAGACACAGAACTACTGGCAGAGTTCGTGACAGACCCAGAAGTGGAGCCCCACGAGTGACAGACCGCAACGATGACCAGTACCTAAGGACCTATGCACTCAGACATCGTTATGCAACTGCCACACAGCTGCAGGCCCGTTTACGAGATGTGAGGGGTACTAGGGTTTCCAGACAAACCATTCGCAACCGACTCCACCGCTTTGGCTTGAATGCCAGACGACCGTTGCAGGTGACTCCACTGACACCAAGACACCGCCGTGAACGTTTGCAGTGGGCACAAGACCATGTGACCTGGACAATGCAGCAGTGGTCTACCGTCCTGTTCACTGATGAGTGTCGGGTCTCCTTGCACAGAAATGATGGTCGTCCGTGTTGCTGTAGAAGGCGAGGTGAGCGATACGCCGAGGTCAACATGGTCCCCAGGGTTCGCTTTGGTGGAAGAGGTGCAACAGTCTGGGCAGGCATCACCTGTCAGCGCAAAACAGATTTGGTTATTGTAGATGGCTCAGTCACTGCACGTTCTTACCTCAGACACATCATAGAACCCATCATCATCCCCCAATTCCGCCAGCACACCCCCAACTTTCTGTTCATGGATGATAATGCTCCACCACATCGTGCCAGAATTGTCACAGCTCGACTTCAGGAAGTCGGAGTGCCTCATATGGTATGGCCAGCAATGTCCCCTGACCTGAACCCCATAGAGCACGTCTGGGACCAGCTGAAGCAGAGACTGGATGATCGTACTCCACCCCCACGTGACCTGGCAGAACTGCGTGTAGCACTTGTGGAAGAGTGGAACGCATTGCCTCAGAACAACATCATGAGGCTAGTGAGGAGCATGAGACATCGCTGTCAAGCTGTCATTGCGGCAAATGGTGGAAACACCTGCTACTGACATTGTCAATTTTTGTTATTTGGGGCTATCCTTGTTATTGTCTAAATTTTTGGGGTAATAAATATTAAACTAATGAAAATGGTGTTTCTTCTCATTCATTATTAGTAATATCAAAGGGAACTTTTACTTATTTCATTAAAATTCAGACCAAATAGGAAAAGCACTCATGTAAATAACAATATCCCTAACTTATTGTGAGTAGTGTATATCCTCCATATAAGCTCTATTACTGCAGTATTAGTGTAGTATAGTAGTAGTTGTATTATGTTTGGTTTTTGGAGTGAAAAGAAGTAGATCAACTCCTGCAGAAAACACATTTAAAAAGAGCCTTTCAAATTTTATTGCACAGTTACTTCCAAAGGAAATTTGTGTAATTTGCCCAGTGGTTGCCAAACTTTTTCATACCGACTACCAACGCTTACATCTCTGTCACTGTCATTGCTGCCAGCCTGCCTATCAAAACCTGCGACAGAAAGTAGACAACTATGTCACGTCGCACCTGAGCACACAAGACTGGAACCCGTCTATCAACAAGAACCAGATGAGGAATGGACTGAGGCAAAGTGTTGTTCAGTGAGTGTTACCTTGTCTTTGACTTCACTACCCGCCCTGTTTGGAAGTAAAAACAAATTCCTGGTTTGTCATAGTCTGTCGTTCATGGTTATTCAACACAAATTAAATGTAGTGCAATATTGTCAATTCACTGTGATTTTAATTTTTCGCACAAGCAACTTTTCTACCATACAACTGTCATGATGACATGAATGCTTACATGTTGTGTAAATGGGAATCTGTCCCATCTCTAGCTGTACAACTCTTTTCACAGGTTATGTTTTACTCTCCACTGAGTACTATTTCTCACTTGTAAAGTCGATGGAGTTCAACTTCTTTTAATGGGGACCATATCTAACTAACTTGATTACAGATGAAAATGAAAGTTTTTCATGAGTAATTGTTAATCCAAATAACAGTACTTTTTTCCACTCCTATTTCTTCAGCACCCACTTGTTTTTTTTGTTGTTGTTAGGTGTAACTCCTGTTTGTGTCATGTTTTTTAGATCGGGCATGTTGGAGTCCGGTGTGGACAGGATCATCACACAGGTTGTGGACCCCAAAATGAACCACACTTTCCGGCCGCACATAGAAACTGCCATCCATGACTTCCTGTCAGGGGACAGGAGGGAGGAAAGCGCCTTAAGTTCTAACTCTGCACCATCTGAACAGACTGAACCTCAGGAGGCCCCCTCTGCCTCTGGCCCCAAAACCCCATGAGGTCTGTTTAAAAACTGAAGTACAGTCAAAGATCAAGAAGGTTTAGAAATACAGTAGAGAAATCTGTATGTTCTCTCCTCCTGCAGGTACACATGCTGGTCTACACACAATGTTGTATGGCTGTGTTAGCATTTTTGAAAGGTGCGCCATCACACGAGAGGACGAGGTTGTTTCCTGCTATGCCTCATTAAAGGGACTAGAGTCAGGAGTGTAACTGCATTCAAAATGTTCAGCATCAGATGTTGTTTCATTGCCCGTCTGTGCTGCACAAGGATACAGCTGGAGAAGTTGCACTGTTACTGCACTGCATGGCACAAACCTGGATTATTTCTTTTGAATCTTTTTGTCAATGGCTTTTTTTTTTTTTTTTTTTTTTTTTTTTTTTTTTTTTAAATCGGATATCGAACAAGATTTTTATTTTGGAGTGCTGTGTGTTGTTTTCCACTCAGGGTGTTTGTGAACATGTAGACATATTCAGACCTTTTCCACTAATAACATGTTGAATAACTACAATCTAAACTTTCAAACTCTGTCTACTCTGATTCAGACTGATGAGTGAAGTCGGTATGTAAATATATTTTGTTCAGTATTTAGAGGTCTTAATTTTTCATCACACCATGTCAGGTTTCCTTTTTGTGCATGTATTGAGTATGTAGTATTGATTATGCGTCCCATCTTCTTTACTAAACACGGTTGTCAATATGTTCCTCTCTGTCTTTTTTTTTTCTTTTTTTTTTTCTTATTGTACCCCTTTGGGCGTTTTCTCAGTAAAGATACTGTGATGGACTGTATGTAAGATAACGGGTAAGTCTGTGAAAAGATTTTAAGCAACACAATCATTTCCTCTGAGTGTCGGCAGAAGGTTTGTGTGTTTGCTGCAGTGAAAAAAAGAGGAGAGCCCAGTACCACCAGGTGGGGTAGTTGTTCTCGTATGTAGGTATTGTATGGCTGAATCCACCAAAAAAAAAAAAAAAAAAAGTTTCAAGGTTGACATTTTAGAGACAAATCTCTTAAATCCATCATGTGAATTGGTTTTACTGTTACTCATATACATTCCCTATCTGCATATTAGAGAAGTTGGAAGTACATTCAAACTAGTTGTGTTGATCCTGTTTTGTAAAATATACCACCAACCCTGCAGACATGCGTAATGGTGTTTTTAAAATAGCCTTAAAATATTTATATGTGCATCATGTCAACAGGTAAAAGTAATAGACTTAAGCTGTAAGTAGTCACTCTCTGTCACTCTCAGAGCCTCCATAAATCCAGACTTAAACCTCAGTTAGGTTTGAGTGTCTGTGTGTGCGTCATCACACGTTGCGTAACTTTATCGATTTAACTGCTTGTTTTTGGCAGAAGACTGAGCCATACTTTAACACAAGTATGTGTGTCAGAGTGTGTCTGTAAATATAATGCTCTTTGTTCATGTGTCTGTCTGTCTGTCTGTGTGTGAGAGTGAAATCCTAGTCATCTCCCTATGAAGTCAGTGGTGAGTGTTGTATCAGATGCACAGAACAAATTGAATTGATGGAAGAGTATATTCATTCATTTTTTTAATAAATTAATAATTTAAATAATCTGTCCATTTAAAGATTAAATATGCAATAGTTTGTATAAGATATCAATTAATACAGTGCTTTATAACCATGACACCTGGGACATGACATCTGCCCATGTTCTTAATTACACCTGGTGTTGCTCAAAGCATCAAAAATGTGTTTGAGAAACCCAGCGGCAGCTTGTCTTTAAAAAAAATAAAGTCCTGGAAAAAGAATGATCTGTAGACCTCACCTTGACCTGTTTTCACTGGAACTACTTTTTACTGAAGAAATAATGACGCTGTTGAGGTTATCACAAGCATTTCTTCATGTAAATGAAATTACACTCTCCTTCTCTTGCACTGGAGGTAAATGTGTCAAAACCTCAGCACATGAAAATGTAGCAAATCTGCCTTTGATTTGCATGAACAGACACTTATTAAGACCAGCAACATCGTCCTTGAAGTTGTTCCAAGTTTTGCATCTTGCCATATGAACTGTAGTGAGAAGAACACATGAGAGCAAAAGAGTTATTAAACCCAAAGGTTATGGCAATGCTTCCTCCTCAGATCAATTCTCACAAAGCAGATACTCGTGAATTTGATCTATATGCGCGCACACACACACACACATACAGAGGCAGACATGTAAAGTGTTGTTTACAACATGATCATGTAAGAGACAAGAGGGTCCTGCATGTGTGCTGTTTGCACAGTAGTGTCTATGTGCGTTAGTGTGCCATTTTGGGCATGTGAGTCTGTGTTTGTGTGTATGTTCTGTGTCGGGGTGAAGGGTCAATGTGTGGGTGGTCATCGGTTTGTGCGAGGGAAGCTGTGGGATGTTGTTTTGAAGCAAGATGAGACAGAATGAGTGGGAAAGGTTGCGAAAAAAAAAAAAGTCCTCCAACCGACGTCCAAACATTAGCCCCTGTAAGAGTGTGTCTTCCCCAACTGGGCCCCTGTACGGACACACACACATAAACACACCCGTCTTTTCTACCTTGACCTCCCACTGCAACATACACACACTTTGTTCTCACCCATGTTCAGTGAAGGCCTCTTGGATGCAGGGTAGATAAACCTAAGGAGGCAGAGGAGGGAGAGGTATGAGGTATTTGTTTGACTCACATGAAGATGATGATGTCATGGTGTCACATGACTGACCTGTCCCTCCGTGGATGTCAGGGGCCAGAGGTCATGGCCGTTATGAATCAAAACATACAAACCACAACTATGCTGCAAGATCTGAACACATCGTGAAGAAGACAAAGTGTAACTCAACTTCAAGTTGCATTTAGGGAATAGACAAACATTGGGAGCTATAGTGACAAAATACTGAGCCAGAAACAGCCTCATAATATATCTGAGTTAAAATTAAACCATCAGAAATAAATATTAAGCATTGAAAAAGTAGAAAATAGAAATAAAAACCATCACCATTTATAAACATTTTGACAAGAGAGTATGTACCAAAAAGTCTCCGTTTGCGTGTGTGCAGGCTTTTATTGCCGTCAATGTGAGGACCAGTTTCAATTCAACCATCAGTGAGGACATTTCTGCCAGTCCTCACTACTTCAAAAGGATTGATTGGTTTTAAGGTTGAGGTCAGAATTAGGTTTATGTTGGGGTTCGGGTAAGGGTTGGGCTTAGGCGTTTAGTTATAGTTTGGAGTAGATGCTACAAGCAATGCATTGTGTCAGTGAAGGTCCTCACGTGTATATAAAGACAAATTTATGTGTGCACTTTTTGTAAAATGAAAACGAGTGAAAATCTGAAGTAGGCATGTGTAGTGGAAATATACTATGAAGAGTCAGAGGGCTTATAAGGTGTAAGTGATGGTTTTATTATAGAGCTTTACAGAGCAGTTAGAAAGTGTTTATCCACCAATATAAATGTTGGTAATCAATCAAGGGCTCATGGGTTTCTCATTTTTGTAGTTACAAATCTTAATAAGTCATTAATAAAGACTTGAAGTCTGCAGTTATAAATTTTGGTTTGTCTCAGTCTTATTCTCTCTATAGGGTCCATCTCAGTCACTCCACCACTGTGGTCCGGACTGAAATATCTCAACATGTAGTCCTGTTAGACTGTTACATGGTCCTCAGAGGATGGATCCTAATGGCTTTGGTGATCTTCTGACTTCTTCCTCTAGCGCCACCATGAGGTTGACGTGTTGTGGTTTTGGGCAAAATGTCTCAACCTTTGGCCAGATTGCCATGAAATTTAGCTCACACATTCATGGTGCCCAGAGGATGAATTGTAATAATTTTGGCAATATCTATAACATTTCATCTAGTAGCATCATCATCAGGTTAAAAATTAAATTGATCTAAACGCCTGCAAAAATATTCCCAACAGCCAGTGCCGACATTGGCAGGGTAACATGTGAAACTAAGTTGGTGAACATGGTAGACTAAACATCAGCATTGTCATTGTTAGCATGTAGCTCAAAGAACTGCTGTGCATTGACTCTAGAAATAAGTGAATAAATAAATAAAGATTTTACACAACCAGGCAGCCCAACATTTTTCCAGTTAACTTTTAACTAGCCAATTCACAACAGAAGTTATCTCAAGGCACTTTCCAAATAGAGCAGATCTAGACCTTCTCTTTATATTATTTACAGAAACCCAACAATATTATTATCAATCAGTCCCAAGTTTAAACCCTTTATAAATGAAGCCTTGCGAGAAAGTTGAATATTTTTGTGTAACTATGACTACTATAGGTGCACTGCAGTATATTAGACAGACATAATGTGAACAAAAGTAAGTTTACAGGAATGCAGCACTCTAATAATTTGAAAAACCTGACCCTCTTCACATACTCCTGCTCTCTCTTTCAGTCTGGGTGCTTCTGATACGTTCCTCACTGCACGTCTCCCTGCCAAGAAGGCAGCTGCTAACCCTCAAACACACACACACACACCCACACACACACACATACACACACACACACACGGCTGGCTGGCGGGTTAATTGAGTGTGGATGTCTTGAGTGGCTGACCTTCACTTACCCCCGCAGACTCCGGAGGAACAGGAAGACCTTATAAGAACTTTTTTTTACTTTTTGGGGAGTTTATGAATGTGGGATTTATTTTATGGCCAATTCTCTCTCAGCATGAACCTCACGCCTCCCGCCTGTCCCCGTTTCTCTCCTCCATTCATCATTCAGTTATTGGATTAATAATGAAATAGGAAAACGAAACCAGACCGGAGCCCAGTCATCAGTCAAGCCAGTTTGTTCAGGCACATCAAATCCATTCTGCTATTGTCGCTCCTCTCTTTCTCTCATCAATGATAAACTTTTAGCTCCAGTCTGCTGCGCGCTCACGAAGCTGCGCCGTGATTGGTGGAGACACAAGCTCCCTTCACTCAGATCGTCGTGGACGCGCAACTCCCGTTCAGCTTTATATATATATCAGCCCTTCATGCCGCGGTCATGCTGTGTAGTGGAAACCCCTCTGCAAGGCTACACTCCTCCTGCTGCTGCTGCTGCTGCTGCTGCTGCTACAGCCCGCAAACCAGACAGAAAACACTGAGCTTCAGTTAGTGTCAGACATGCCGGTCAACTTGTCCGCTTTGGTTTTTGTGTTTTTCCTGCTCGTGGCCTGTCAACAGGTGCTGACCGTGGATCCGCATGATGCCCAGGAGAAACAAGCGAGCCAGGCCAAAAGACGACTCTCTCTGCAGAGCACAGGTGAGTTGGGACCCGAGCTGCGCCTCCGATGCTCGCATATGGATGCTCTCCAGAAGTATTAATCTTCGGTCGTTTACCTTTTTCATTATTAGAAAATACTGAATTCAAAGCAAGTGCACGGTAGCCCGACTCGCAGCACAGGTCCCCACAGAGCTGTCTCTGCAGGAAGATCTCTCAACGTGTATCTAAAAGTTTGTAGCTTGTAGGCACTGAAAAGTTTATAGCTTGTTTATGGACAGGCACAGGATTATGTCTGTATTTTGCAGCCGACAACAGAAAAATAATTCAGTGCTTCTTTGTGCTTCCTCTACCTGCAGCTTTAATGATGGGCCTGTTGCCTGTTGTCTGTTGTCTGGATCTCACTGGAGAACACCTGAATTATAAATGTTCAGTAGCCTTGATGGTAACACATGGGCTGCCATGTCATTAGGCTATAATACTGATAATTAATATATTAATAGTGACGGTTGCATAGTGTCTGCAGGAAAGTGAGGTGACCCCATTTGTGTACTTGTGTATATTTGGGTCCCTCCCCCCCCATTGCATCGTTAAAATAATGCTCCCGCGGGATGGTTTACATTCCGTGCAGCCTGTCGGTTCCACAGACCGGGCTGTGCGTCGGGCCGTACCGTGCCGGGTCGCACCTCTCCGTTTGCTCTCCTGCGCAGTTGGTGGCTTGTAATTCAATGCGCAGCTCCGGCGGCTCGATCCTGTCCAAGCACATTCCCTCCGTACCAGCAGGGCGGTGCATGACGGCACCTCCGGCCCGGAGCTGACCTGCAGGCTGCACAACATCAAGAGAAGCAACAACGGTCAGAAGAGGCCCGTCACAACAAGAACAGCAGCAGGATAACAGTCCCGTGTGCTGGTTAAAGATTAACTGAACACGAACTAAAGCCTCGCAGCAAAACGTGATCAGTCTCATGTCGCTTGCTTCGGCCTAGTGACCAGAATATCCTCAGCCAAAAAGAAAAAAAAAAGTCTCTCTCTCTCAAAACATTTGTATTTATGTGTCTAACTGTAAAGAGATATTGCTTTAAGCAAAAGTAAAAGCATTGTTGTCCATCACTGATGCAGGACAGTCTCAGCTCATCCCTGCTGTCCACCACAGTGTAACCTGTGAAGTAGAAGTACTGAACCTGTGACCAAACAGCCCCAAATATAATGTACCCAAAATAAAAAGGTTATTGTTCTTCAACGCTTTTGATTACAATCATTACCCCGCTCCTTTGAACAGTGTCTTTTTTTGTATAATTGCCTTTTGTGTGGGAAAACCCTTTAGCTGCAAGTCTGAGCTGATTCTGTGTCAGCAGGTGTTGCAGTGATATGGGCAAGATCCTGAAATGCTCAGATGTAAATCAGGAGATTTAGAGCTTTCAAATGGTTGTGTGAGGATTTAGTCCGGTACAGACGAAAACCAAGACTGTGTGCAAGGTTAAACTTCTCTGAAAACAAAACTGAAGTCAACAAGATGGCCTCACAAAAGGAACACTCAACTCACAACTACTTAAATTACATGATGAGGCAGATAACTTCTCTCTGTTGACCTGATGTACTGTAGGTCATCCTGATGTGGTGTTATTGTAGTGTACTCCCTTGAAAAGGTGCAGCAGATAACAGCACAGTAGTACATGTGTGGGACACACACTCTGCACTGTGGTGTCTCATCAATGAAGTTAACGCTGATCTGTCTGTGTTTCTGTCCCTCTCAGTGGAGATTCAGAGTTGCCTGGTGAGTTCAGGGGACGTTGGCTGCGGGACATTTCAGTGTTTCAACAACAACTCCTGTGAAATCCAAGGGCTGCACCACATCTGTCTCACCCTGCTGCACAACGCCGGGCGCTACGACTCACAGGTGGGAGCAGCACGAGAGTCTGACCTCATTTCACACACTCAATTAGAACAACACTTTAATAAAAAAAAAAAAAAAAAAAAAAAAAAAAAAATTAAAGTAATTGTTTACCATTAGACCTCACTTTCGCTAACACTGGCTGAAACTGTGTGCAACAGCCACTGAGGGCAGACTGAGATCAGACATATTTGGATACATGTCGTTATTTCATTTAATCCCTTCAGTCATTACAGTCATTTGTGAGGAATGTTTGTCATATAAGGAGCAGTGTATAGTTATGTGTGGCACTAGTTACAGAACAATCTGAGAGGGGAAGTGAAATGAGAGAGGGAACAGCTTGTCTACTTTACTAGAATAGAAGTGCATGAGAGAGTGATGCAGGTCTAATGCGTCTCCAGCATGAACAGGCAGTGGATGATGTTCAGTGACAATCTGTGAGCGACTTATACACTTCCATACACAAACAATACCATACAAACAATATCATAAGATTCATTGAATTGCAACAGGAAGTACTTGTCTCTGATTGGTTGGGAGGTGTCAAATTAAAGTCACCATAGCACACATTACTGATGCTTTAAGTTACAGTGTGTTAATGGCCACACAGTATAACTCACTGTAAGAAAATATTGCACTTGCCTTGATTTATTTTCTTGTAATACAATCTTTCAAACTATAACCCCAACTATAGATGTGACCTGTTCATTCACAACATGTGAGGATGTGTTATTGGGATAATGACCACAGAGAATTATCATCCAACTGCAGCTCTGCTCAGCTTTTTTTATTTTCTTTTTAGCTCATTGTCTCGCAGTCCAACTCTCGAACTCCACCTTCATCAGCCTCATAAAGGACTAGTTAACACAGTGGGTCATCTAACAAGTAGGCCACTACAACAGATGTAGTCATGCTGTTATGGCTGTCAAGCTTTCCATTTTCACACTGTAAACTTTCCATGCAGTTTAAAATGATAAATCGAGTAATAAATTTGCCACCATTGATTTTAAACCGAGGTAGACGACAGCAGCTTCTCATTTCTAGCCGTCAGTTTTGCTGAAATTGCAACTGTCGTGAGCAGATATTATCAGCTGTAGCTAGCTAGCAAATGAAGCATATGTTCGCTCCATGAACTGGTTAAGAAAACCATCTGCCTGACTTTTTAATGTTTCCAGCTGAAAATGAGTTCCCTGTAAACATGGACAGATCAGGACACAATGAGCCTGTCCCTACCCCTCCTACACAGGAGTAAGAGCCACAGATTCAAAGAGGCGTCTTTTTGGGTGTTTTATCTCTGCATCTCTCTTTGGTCATTTTGCACTTTTTGTAGTTATTTGAATCGACTTCCCGACAAGAAATGTTAAGTCACTTCATACAGCTGCCCCTCCGACCCCTTGGGCTCCTGGGCCTGTGCCCAGTATGTCAGTTCAGTGATCTGTACATTCCTGTAAAGGCATCTTAAATATGCATTTAATGCATATTTAATAAATATCTAGGTCATGGTTATGTACATGACGTTTTGCTAAAGTTGCATGACCCAGGCAGAAAGTCAATATCCTCACCATGAGCCTCATCCACTGATGATACAATAGATATAAATAAAGCACTGTTCTGGTATTGTTATGAGTTAATAGATAGGAGCTGACTAGTCCAAGTATTATAACCACACTTACTACTACATACAAACAGTATCTTTTCGTGTTACAAGAGAAAAGACTGGGATGAGAACCAACAGATGTGGTCAGCTAATGTAATTCTATCTCCAGTAACTAACAGCTGCGGTTGCAGCAGTGTAAAGCTCCCAAATCCAATGGCGAGCAGGACGGCGTTGCTAACATTACCCATTACCCTTCCAGCTTCCAGGGCCGGCTTCCACATAGTGGATGAGCTAGTTGTCCGTCTTTACGTAACCTGTAACCCCACAAACTAATGTAGTTAGGTCATGATGTTCTCCTAGGCTTTGGAAGTCATGCTAGATTATTGCTGTAGGTAATAAGCAGACAAACATTGTTTGATTTGTTTTTGCAGTGAAGCTCTGAAAGATTAAAGAAAAGTATACCACCTTCCAAAATATTCAGATATCAAGTATCACTCTTAGTACAGACCCATGATTGCCAACACATTAACCATACTTTTATAAAAGCAGCAATGAGTTACAGACTGTTGTAATCATCCCTCCTCTCCATACTGACTGGTGGTCACAATCACTTTGTAGAGGGATTACTACAGCAACTAACAACTCCCTCAAAGTACATATAGCACGTGTTATATTAAGAAACTTTAAAAAAATCTGATTCTAAACTGTTTTCCAGAGAATGACACACTCAAGCATGTCTAATGGATCTAATGCACACAGCCAATAAAAGATGAAGGTAGTTTTATTTTATTCCAAAAATGCAGTAGAGATCAAAGAATGGGCAGAAACACATCCCAGGCCAGATTTGACAGTCTCAGAATATGCAGCTTTGCTAAACGTACCATCAGAAATGTCCCACTGATTCCTCCTGTCGCTCTCCTCCTCCTCCTCCCCCCAGGGCAAGTCATTTGTGAAGGATGCGTTGCGGTGCATGGCGCTGGGACTTCGACATCGCTTCAGCTGTGTGAGCCGCCGGTGCTCAGCGGTAAAAGAGATGGTGTTCTCGCTCCAGAGAGAGTGCTACTCCAAACACCAGCTGTGCCTGGCACTACGGGACCACATGGACACCATGGGCAATCTGGTCCAGTTCCACTTGATGTTTCCCCCAGGGTGAGAGAGAGAGAGAAACACATTAACAATTAACCAGCAAGCTTTTATCACCACCCCAATGAAAAAACCAAAAGAGGAGTCAGCGAAACCATCCTCAGTGAATGATGCAGCACTCTTTGCATAGCAAGTAGCTTATGGTGGCTAATGTCAGTGTTTACACAGGTATTGCTGTGTTAACTGGCATTAGAGTCAGTATGCTGATGTAATGACTCCTCTACTAGGGTAACTAAAATTTCATTTGATATTTCAATGGTTTTATCACCAGGAGCCATGTTTGTTATTTCCTTTTTCAAAGAAGGGTCCTGGTGTTGTGGCTCACTAGCTAGGTTTGGGAAAATCAGCAAAAGAAAATGGTAATTAATGTAGACACTATCATTATGCAAATATTAGGAGGTGGTTCATCAAGATAAACAGTCAGGTGCCATTAAAATTATGAAAAATCAATGAAATAAGTTTAAACAAAAAATGCAGAAAACATGGAAATGTGATATTCATTGGTATTTATGTTGTGTGTTTTTCATGCTATGACATATCAAAATGTCTAGTCAGCTAAAGATGGTGACTTTAAAGCAATTGACTTGGGAAATTAGGAAAAATTCAGTATCCAGAACCTGCCACAGTATCCTCTGTCCCCAAGAGTTCTTCTAGTCTGACTTTGTTGAAAGTTGAACAAACATGAACAAAAATAAAATCATTTTCTCTTGTGTGTGCGTCGTACCAGACCGTACGTGGAGCTGGTGAACTTCCTGTTGAAGTGCGGAGACGAGGTCAGGTCGTGGGTCAGCCGGCGGTTGCGGGAACAGTGCGAGCAGCACTGGGGGGCACTGTGCAGAAGCTTCAGCAGCACCTGCTCTCTCAGCCAATCGGACGCTCCGCAGCATACCACCACTCCAACACCCACTGTGCCCTGGCCTTTGACTGCTCAGGGACCCGTGCAGCAGCCAACCAGAGTAGCCGAATCAGACAACAGGAGTGGGCTCAATCAGATTGACAACGCAACCGAATCTGGTCTCCCAGTGTCTGAGAAAACCAATGTTACTGCATCATAGAGCGACCGGCGAGCCACGCAGAGGTGCAGACGCGGTACACATTGATCGTGCACTTATCACCATCATAATAGTAGGATGAGTAAAAGTAGTGGTAGTTTTACTAGAGTATTCAGTGTAGTATTGCTGGTGAAAGTGATGCAACATAACTTATTTAATCTGTTGGGTATTTGTGCTATTAATATTTTTCTTTACATTGACTTTGTACAAGGATGAAAACCAATTATCTACCTCACTTCATCACAGTAAACCACAGTGGCTGTATCCTGCAGCGACGGGCATGGACACACGAGTAAACACTACAGGGAATTTGTCTCTAGCTCAAGTGCAGCTGAAAGTCAGTATTCTGTTATGTTTTTGTATTTATGAGCATTGTTATTTTATGCACCATGTAGTTGGCACACTATCAGCCGTTATCTTGTAGACAGTCAGGGTGCAGTCTGCAGGAAGGGAAGCACTCTTCGGTTGTGACGTGTAATAAATATGTATTTTTGATGTTCTACATGAACGATCACATTTCATACAGACCCCAGGTTTCAAGCTATATTTTGTAAGTTTTTATTTAAATGAATGGAAAAATACATTTGTAAGCAATTTTGATTGAAATTAAATAAACTACAATGATGTCACTGAACAGAGAGTGTTAATTAAAGTGTGTTAATTAAGACATTAATGACCTGTTTAACATTGTTCACATAAATTCTCTAATGGTGATATAATGTTGGGTATTCTGCCATCTACTGGCACAGCTGTGGTAATGCTGCACTGCAACATATCCCGCAATATGTTGGAAATATATTCAACTTAATTCAAACAAAGACTTTTTGTTTAACATTCACACGTTCACTCACTCGGCATGAGACATCCTTCACAGAAAGAGCAAGGAATCACATTTCTGGTTTAGTTGATCTGGACGTCTGATTGGATGTAGGAAAGGCACAGGGTACACTCATCAATAACTAACAACAATGTCTTTGAAATAGCCACCCAAACACACAGATTGCAGTTTGACAAAAAGTAAACAAAAAGGTTATTGCACACTATAGCCTTTACCCTGGTTAGTCCTGAATACCAGATGAAGTATTAATGCCTCAGGATCCTTCAATGTGTCATTTTCATGCAACATCTCGTCAGTGGGGGTGTAGGTGTGAAAATAGGCAGAAACTTCTCAAACAGTCTTTTCTACTGTTGTCACCTGAATGCCTTTGAGTAGAGTCTGTATGAAAATGTGCAGCCTCGTCCCAAACTATACAAATCATTACATCAAGACTACACAGCAGCGTTCTTAGAGAGCAAGTGTGACGCAGCCAGGAGGAGGTCATTACAGTAAACTTTTCACCCCACCTTTAAGTGCGTTCATTCATATCAGGTATAGAAGCTCTTGCCTTTAGACACTGTCAAACAACATGTATAACCGAGTTTGTTTGAAGCATGCTGAGGCTTTAAACCCATCACTGTCGTCGCATGAAACCTCATAATTCCAGTTTTAGTCACTATGCTCCTTCCACTTAAGTTGATCTTATAAAGTCCTTTATACCCATTTTGTAAACTCATATACTGTATTTAGTTCACGCTAAAAATCGAGGCTTCTAAATAAAAAGGTAAAATACATTTTTATATGTGCAGCAGTCCATTCTGAACGCAGCTTCTAACTCCCCATTTAGTTGATAGTTAAACTCTATACCTGCTAGTTTTTCTTGTGCTAACTTCCTGCTGAGTAGAATACCTGGAAAACACTCTTCTTGTCAGCAGGCGTGTGACTCGGCCAGTTGGCTAAATGAAGGGGAAGAGACGTTTCTTGAGGATGTAGAGGACGGTGGCGAGGAAAAGGGCCACAGCCAGGAAGATGAGCAGCTTGTCCGTCAGCTCCCGCCGGTTGTACTTCAGGATCAGTTTCCTCCCCAGGTGGATGGTTCCTGTCATGTTTTTAAACTCCTCGTTGGTTTCCTGCACCGTCCGAGAGGAAGTGGCTGAGGTGAGGAAGAGGAGGAGAGGTGTTAATGGTTGAAGAGGGAAGAAAATTGGAGATTGAGACAGGATTTTATGTGAAAAGGATTTTCACTGGGAAAATGAAATTTTTACCCACACAAGTATACAAACATATGGACAAGGTAGTTTTGTGTTTGTTTTTTTACCCAGTGTGCCGATGGCGTCCTCGCTCTGCTTCACCTGTTCAGACATCATTCTGCTGATGGACATCAGACTCTCTGTGATGTCACTGCTGGTTTCCACTAGGCTCTCTTTAGTCGCCTTCCTGAGACAAATACACAGACAAAGCCAAGTGATGGAGGGGTTGATGTTTTACTTTACAATCCAGCAGACTAGCAGTAACATGTTGGCTGTCGCTGTTGCAGAGGCATGACAGTGAGGCTTTGGTTGTAAGCCACCCCAAAAGCTAACTGACTCAATGACATTATACTTCCTGTTTACACCCAAATTGTGGCAACTGTAGTTCCAAAACTTCAATATACACAACAGTATGATGGTTGTATCAATATTTCACCTCCACAATATATTGTCAGCAGAATTGCACTTACCTCTGTCTGGTGGTCTGGTTCTCTCCTCCACACAGCAGCATCTCTTTCTCCATGTTGTCTATGGCCAGTTTACAAGCCAGGTTAGCTTTTCTCCAAGCCGTCTGGTTACTGGAACCCACAGGAACAATAACACAGAAACCAACTTTGAGAACTTTCTTTAGCTCGTCTGATGTTGTGTACATGCTGTATAACAATACCATGCCAAAAAATTTTTTTCTCTACTACTTGTATTTATCTGCCTTTCAAATCTTGTTAACTCTAGATGTGGATATTCTGCAGATTTTCTATTTCACTATAACTAGAAAATGAAGGAACATTGATGTGAATATTTGCTTTCACGATTAACGAGGAATTATATATTTGTATAGAATTTCCACAAATTTGCCACAAGAAGAATCCGGTTACAAAGTGAATTTTTTTTTTTAAATATGTAGGTGTCAAATGTCATGCTCATTACACAACAGTGACTTAATCAGTAAAATCAACAGTTTTGGTCTTACTGACAACTGCAAGCTCACAGTAGCATCATAACCAATACATAACTTCAAAAGGGTCGACACCAAGAATGTGACATATTGCCAAAAGCAACAAAACAAAATTAAAGAGAAAAAAAAAAAAAAACAAAGCCCCCCCATTTACAATATTGACATGCAATAAGGTTAAAACAATAGTTTGTTTTAATGCGTTGACTAAGAGCGAGACACCAGTCGGTTCACTCACTTCATCACTGGACTGATCCCTGGCATTTTAGTGGGATTAATGATGTTGATGATTTCAATGGGGAAATTAAAGATGGTGGCTGTGTGTGAGTTAAAACACCTTAGCATTTGCCTTCGCTGGCTCGCAGTCTCTGCCTGAATGGCCTGTCTGTCCGTCTCTCTGTCCTGCTCTCTGGCCATCTGCTCCAGATCCTGACGACAACACCAAAACATCAAATAAAACTGTTTGGATTTTAAGCAAGAAATCTGTCAAGTGCAACACGGATGCATGTGTGGCTGAGGCCGACCTGTATCCTGAGTCTGAGTTTGTTGAACTTCTCTTTGACCTGAGAGTTGAACTCCCTGAGAGCAGACTGAGGTCCAGGGCAATCCCTGATGTCCTGCAGGTAATACATACACTTAAGTGTTGCATATTAATGAGTACATAAGCTTGATCAAGACACATTGTATACAGTAGGTAAATCACAAACAAATGCCTGTCTGACCAAAACTAACTAAATCCGATTTTGAATTTCTTTGAAAAATACAATCCGAGTTAAACCATACTGTGGGAGTACACGTCGAACTTAAGCCTGTTAAATCATTACATAAATAAAATATCAAATTAAAATTAAATACATGTTATAAGTCATATGCATACTGTCTGGTGTTTCATGTTCACATGCAGAGGTACTGAGTTGGACTACAACTGACGATTATTCAATTAGCAATTTCTGAATTGTACTTGTGTACATGTGATTTTATTAAGATGTAAAATATAATAGTCTCTTGTATTGTTTGGTCTGTAAAATTTCAAAATGGTGAGAAATTAGTTAAGTTATATTTGAGAGCTAGAATAGCGTTTCTGCTTCTACTGTAATATAGGTATATTTGTTGTGCGTCGTTATGCTTTATCATTGACGCACAACAAAAACGCCCCGAACAGACAGACGTTAAAATGTTTTCCTCCCGTTGGTGACAGCTCACTTTTCACATCTGCAAATGCTTCAACAGTGATATCGAGTTTATAAAAGCGTTGGCAGTGATTGAAGGAAACAGTTGTTATCGTTACAATAATGAAAACAATTTCAACTTTCCCCACTGATCACATTTACCGAGTAGGTTCGGTTAACGTTAGCTTAACGGACACCTCTCCAGAATAAAATTGATAACATGAGAAGAAAAAATTGACAAAGAACACCTTTTCGGCTCTTACCTGAATTAGAGCCTTGATTTCTAGGTCATATTTTATAATTTCTTGTCCACAAATTCGGACATGGACATCCATAGAAGACGCCATATTTGTTTTTGTACGGCACGTTGGACGTCCAAAAGACAAGGCGCTCTGCTGAAGGCGAAGCAACAATGTTAGTTACGGTGGCCTGGATCCTGTAAAGCAGTGTTTCTCAAATCAAGGACCACTTAACCATTAAAATGAAACTTACGAACCACCCAGCCCCCCTCCAAATATAAGTAGAGCCTACAACTTCAGTTTCAAAATAAAAAGAAAAAAGGGCCAACGACGCCACCTGTGGAATCACACCTCAGGATATATTATTAAACCTTAGACCCTATTCAGACCTGATAATGTGCGTCTTCAATGATCCGATCGTAAGTGGTCAGCTCTAACTTCGTCAGTTCACACCTGGCTTTACAATGCGTCTCCACATGCGTCTCGATTGACCACGGGTCCATCTGTCGATTGGCTAAAAACAATACCTTTTTATTTGCATGTAAAGCGGGGAAGTGAGATCCGATCACAAGTGGTCAATCGAGACGCATGTGGAGACGCATTTTAAAGTCAGGTGTGAACTGACGTACAGAGCTGACCACTTGTGATTGGAGCACACTGAGGACGCATGTTAATATCAGGTCTGAGCAGGGCCTTAGCTGTTAAATTGATAGGACACAGGCCCGTATATCGATAAGACAAACAAAATGTTTTATTTTAATCTATTAAAACCAAAAATATATAATGTAGTAGGGACTGGAAAATTATATTACGGCAAATTTAAAGATTCATTTGAGATGAAACTATTTTATTAAATGTATGGATTTGCTTTTATAAAAAAATAAAAATTAAAAAAAAAGGGAGGTGGTGTTGTACAATATCTTAAGTTTCTAGAAATTTACTCAAGTTTATTATTAAAAATAAAAGTCAGTCCAACACAAACAAAGCAAAATAAGGAGGCCGGTCCGGAAGAGGCAGACTGCTGAGTACCCAGGGGTGCTACTACTTACTCACCTCAGGTACAGCACAGCAAACCCTGAGCAAACCTGACCCAAAAACACCTGTGTCCCACTACTCTTACTCGCACGCATCAAATGTGGGGATTTCACCATGGGTGCCTATAGCCTCCTGCAGCACTCGACTACACTGCCAAACAATCAAGTAAATAAACAACTAAAGAACAACCAACAACAAAACAAGCCAGTTGACTAAACAAATGACACCAGCAAAGCAAAATAAGCCACAAAGCCAAACACAGTATGTAGAAGTAAGGCAAAACAACAGCAGGGGAACCTAAAAAAGAGAAATAGAATTAGTTGGCTCATCATACTGTATAAAACTGCAATTTAAAGTGGTAGAATGACTGGATGTTGGGTGTAAAATTATGTTTCTTTTACCACTTACCTGCAGGCCAATGCTACCAGCCACAATTGAAAGGAACCAGCACGCGACTGCTCAGCAGCTAGCAGGTGCACTTAATAACCTGGCCCTGATGAGGGGGTTGGCGGGGGGGGAGGAGTCATCCCAGGGCTGTGTTCACAGGCAGTCGTTCGCGGTACGTTGCGTCCGTTTCCTCCTCATCCGCAGTCCAGAAAAAAACGAATTTAATGTAGTCAGTGTTGTATTTTCGTTTCATTTTAGCACCGAACTTTGCACGTTCACGCCAAGTTTCACAACTTTGAGGGATCTCCTTTCACGGCGAATCATTGTCCTCCTCGGCGGTGTTCACTGCTGCTCCACCTGCATCACGACCGTAAAGTTTTACTCACGCTTCCTTTTAAAATATCAGGCTAGTTATTTTTGACATAAATCGTAAAACATTAACTGTAAACTGACGTGGGTACGTGACATTGCCGCAAAACGGTCGGTTACATTGCTTGAAAAAGGCCGCTCTGAAGCTCTGTTAATGTACGATAGAAGATGAATTAAAAAGAGAGTAAAACAATTTCATTTTAACACATCTTTCCCCGTTCTCGGAATATACTGTTTTATAGTTAGAAAACAAACAAAATAAGTTAAATCACCTCAAGCTTCAGTGGGAAAAATAACTGTCAGATGTGTTGTGTCAGTTGGCGAGTATAGCCGACTTCATAGTGCTTCATCTAAACAAGAGCAAACTGTCTTCATGATTTTACGCTTTTTACCAACAGAAAAATGGGAACTAAACTAATGTCCACTAACGGATATTTGATGTGATGTTGTTTCTTGTGGAACTAAATGTTTCCTTCAGTTGCTGGTTAATTTTTTCTTGGTAAATTTCACAATAAGAACTTTTCCAATCCCTGGTTTAAATTATTTATTGGTGAACTTTAAACACTATGGGACCTTAACTGAAGACCACACACATTTGAGCTACACTGTTTGACTGGGTGACATGTTCTTTCATTATGGTAAATTCTGTAGTTTATGTATTTATTTAAGTCAGTCCCACGTAAGTCATCCTGGTGCTGTAAATGCTCAATACTAGAGTACCAGTTTATACTGTATTAAATCATATTTCCATCTGTTTGACAAACCGTTGCTAAAATTACAGTGCCTAATTGTTTTAGGAAATTATAAAGAAACCATTTTAATAACTAGATAGATAGATAGATAGATAGATAGATAGATAATTAATCCCGTAAGGATTAATAATAAAACTATCTATTGCTATAAATCAGTTGAGTCTTCATTTCAGTAATGAAACCCGCCTGCACACAGTTAAACATACAAGAACATACAAGAGTTGGAATGGGGTGCTAATGGTTTTATTATTTTGATATTAAAATCAATAAACATAATCAGACTATTGTGGTTACAAGCAAAGCTGTGGTACCAACTCCTGGCTGATACAACAGAGAAAGAATTATTTCAAAAGAAAAAAAAAATAAGAAAGAAAGAAAAAGAAAGAGAGAGAGAGGCACAAAAACACAACAGAGATTCAGGGCAGGTGTCTGCAGGATGTGGAGCAGCCAGAGACAAAAACTGTCAGAAGCTCTGAAACAGAATGAGCTGTTACAGTACAAACCAAAACAAAAAACATTTTGAACATTTTCATGCCTGTGCATAAAACCACCCAATGTGCCTCCAAGAAAAAAAAAATACCATGTAAAAGAAAAAGTTAGTTAAAACAAAAGTATAAACCCAGCACGACATTTATTACACAACATAAATATAACAACTGTCAAGATATTGTATTTGAACAGGCATATATGTGAACTACAAATATAGACGTCATTGCTAAAGAGAGGATCAAGTTAGTTTCAGCAGGATACACTTTCTGCAGGTTTTGCTTCTTTATGAAATTATAATCACCAAGAGATCTATTATAGAGCACTTAGCAATGAAGTACAGCCTTCCTACTGAGACTGGTGAGAGGAACACACACAGGACTAACTACAGAAAGATCCCATGCTGTTGATCTAGTCAAATAAGTTACCATACAAGACCAGAAGCATCATAACAATGGCATGTAGCTGTGGAGCTCAGAATGACCGATACCTCACACATCCTCTACATGTTTGGACTTGTATGGATTTCCTATAAAATCTTCTTACTGTCTGTCGTTATTATCAAAAGTGAAAAAAAAGAAAAGAAACAGAACAGATGTTTCAGGATAAACATTAGATTTTTGATAAATGTCTCTCGCCCTATGCATTTTGGCAAGTCTGGAAGGAGATGTAAATCATTGCGGTGTTGGATGAGTTGGACGTGTGTAAATATAGAAAGAGGGGTTTTGTTTTTATTATCAAGGGTGGGTTGTTGTCATTTGCTTTAATCAGATCAGTCTGCAGAAGAGGAAATGAAACCCCTCCCCATAATTCATTGCAGAGGAGGGTAAGGGGTCTCTGCCCACCAGCCTTTAGAGACCCTAATCTCAGGAGCTCCCTGACGAGACAACTGCAAACCAAAGCCCTTCTGAAAAAACAACAACAACAAAAAAAGCACCCAGAAAGGGGCTTAAACATCATCTGGCGCAGTGGTGAAGTTTTCCCAGAAAACTCGATCAAATGATTGTGATCGAATTTTCAAATTTCCCCACCAAAGATAGAGAGAGCAGGCGAGCCGACTCCTTACCAGAGCTCCAAGGCTGTGGAGCATCCGAACCTCAGCCCAGAGGAGTCAAGACAAAAGAAGAGTTGTGTCAAGGGGAGGTTCTGTTTGCTGACTCAGCGAGCCTGGTTTAGGGTTCTACTGCCCCTTCTTACCGCGTCAAACCTCCAATGACAGAACACTTCATGGGGTTCACAGACAACAATTACTCAGTCGCAACGAAACTCTTTCAAATTATTCCAATGGCTTAAAATTAAGTTTTGTTCATAGACACATCTGGTGTTGCTTGCCATGTGTTGCTTTTAGCCTATTCATCTTAGATTCAGTCTGCATCAAGAAAACTTGTTTCCAGTGTTTATGCTAAGCTAAGATAACTTGCTGTTGGCAAGTGGCTTCATATTTACTGTACAGACATGATAAAAGCAATCAATCTTCTCATGCAACTCTTGGCAAAAAAAAGTGCACAATATATTGTCCGAAAGGTCAAATGGTCACTTTAGCATGTGGAGCAACTTCCCCCGACCTGAAAGTTTTTAATGCCCATATTAAAAGCTCCAAGTCGTTAATTTTAGTGGCATTTTCTTATGATTTTACACATTTTAATTGAAATGTATCTAAATTATTGTAGCTATTGATTTATTCAATGATTTATAAATCAATTTTTGAACTGATTTAGGGCTGCGATTAACTATTTTTTTCATTATCAATTAATTGGCCAATTATTTTCTTAATTAATTAGTTATTTGTTTTATCTACAAAAAATGCCTGTTATAATTTCACAGAGCCTAAGTTGACGTCTTCAGTTGACTTGTTTTATCTGACCAACCACTCAATGCCTCGTCAAAGTGTCTATTCATTGTTTTACAATCCAATCTATTTATTTTAATGTCTACTTAAATATTAATTAATGATTGTCTTTCACCATTTGCATGTGCGACGGCAATTTGCAATGTGCAGTAGCAGGATTGCACAGATGTACTCTAAGTAAATCTAACAACATTTTTATGTGAAAATACGAGAAAATACCTGTTGTAGTTATTATGTAGATATTGTCAAAGTCAATGACATCACATTATGTTTCACTGTGACTGTAACTGGTGTCTGTGAATCTCATGTGAAGTCTCTGACTCGTGGCAAAGCCTGCTTCAGTGGAAAAGCTATAAAGTCTACTTTAAACAAATTGTCTCCTTACATGTTAATTTACAGGACTCAACAAATAAATATCAAACAAATGGCATGAACACTGGGATCAGGGAAAAAAGGCAATAAAATATAATTTAGGAAAAAAAATTCAAACGTGCAACATTTGACAGAGTCAGAGCATAAATATCAAACCATAATATTAATAAAAAAGGTTTAACAATACAAGCAGGACAGCGGCCGTATAAAGATACAACATTCATGATCTTTCTGGATCCTGACAACAAGAAGACTAGTCTACATTTATCAGCAAAGCAGCAGCAGAGTTATACCTCGCTATGTCAGCATACAGCAGTGCAGCAGTCAGAAACACAAGACTGACCAGAGTCATCAACAGAAGGAATAATATGGCTAATACAGCTTTTTAACACAGCCATGTTAGCACCCAGCCACTGACAGATTAGCACCACAGTTTACCTCCATGCTCAGTTTGTCGCTTCATTCGCAACCTGCGACTCAGTGCCAACACTGACTTCAAGGAGGGTCTGGCACTTCTTAATAGCAAAGTTAAGAAACGGAAAGTTCTGTTGTGTGTGTGTGTGTTTTGTTTGTTTTGTTTTTTTTTTTCCTTTCTCAAAAAGGTCACGAGAGGCAGCAACACAGTGCTCCGTGTCGAAACCGAAGAAGAAGAAGAAGAAGAAGAAGAAGAAGAAGAAGAAGAATGCATTGTAATTGACTAGGTAAAAAGCAGGCCCGAGTCTCCCTCTGCCTCAGACACAGTGGAAGTCTGCTCTTCTCTACATGGACACACCAGCGGTGATAGCAGCAGCAGCCAATACAGAAAACACAATAACGTGGCGTAGTGGGCAGAGAAAGAGTTCAAAACAGACCCAGGTTTCCCAAAACATCAGTTTAGTTTACAAGTTGTCATTTATGCTCTTCTTCAGTATTACTTCAAAAGGGAACTCCCATGCAGAGTTAATTTTTCTATCCAAAGGCAAACACCTTTATCTGCGGTTAAAGGCTGATTATTATACGAACTGTATTGATCTGGGGATAAAGTGAGGTTTTCATTTCATTGTTGTACTTCAAGTTTAGGTTTTGGGAAACCCAGCCCATTGTTTCTGTAGGGAAACCCCCTCCAGACTGAAAGAAGGTGCAGATTTGTGTTCTCATATATTTGATTAAGGCACCTGGTTCAGCAGGCATCATATTCAAAATATTTTTTTTCATTGTATATGTAAAAACCAAGTGCAAGGTGAGTAATGCTGTTGGTCTTTTTTTGAAAAAAAGTGTGTGAAGAAAATCAGGGGT